GAGAGAAGTCACAGCAGCTCAGTTAAAAAATTTGAAGTAGGTTTCTGAATATGACCTCTACAATTCTCCACTAATGCTGGGGAAGCTTTGAGTAATAAATCAGGCTAAATTGCTCATTGCCTATCTCAGACTAGATGTCATACCAGGTGCCTAAGGCTGTATCAACACTGATCATCTTGAGGTTTTCCCAGCCTCTAGGTCTACCCTCTTTAAACTGACCATGTTGCAGCACCATGACAAGGTGAGATCCTGGGACAATCCAGGCTGTTCTGTGTTTTTCATGGGAAGGAAGGGCAGGCACACAGGTTGGGATGGAGCAGTGATGTGCTCTGGGTGGTTCCATGAACTTTGCTCTGGAGTTCACCTGTCCTGCAGTCTAGATATACATACAGCTAAAGTGCTGTAGTAACTTGTCTGCGTACGGACCTCTCTGTGTCTGCAGCTGTTTTCCTCTGTGAAAAAAGAAACTCAGTTATGGCCATCTCAAAGGAGGTTCAGAGGCTCTCCGCTATTGTTGTGACATGTACATGAGAGAGGCTGCTTTTCCTCCTGACTTCTCAGGTCACACTGCTGCTTTCTCAGGGCTGTCTCTGCTTTGCAGGGGGAAACAGTGCAAAGAGCAGCATGATTTGCTGTTGTAGAACTGCCAACTACAGGCCAAGTTACTTATTCTTTGACATTAGATTACATTAAGTGCAGTCGTAGCTGTTACGGAATACCTATATTCAGCATTTATGGGATGTGAATCAGATATGCTGATCCAGATGACTGAAGTTTCCCTTCCTCCTTGTACAGTGTTGACAGCATGGGTGGCTCTAGTCTGATCTGCATTATCTGCAGCAATCTCTAAGGCAAGTGAATTTCAGCAGGGCTGGATCAGTGCCTAACTTCAGGACAGAGGAGTTGCAAGGCACAGTTCATCCCGAGACAAACATCATGATGGTGTTAGGAATAAAGAACCCATTTTGAGTCTGATTCATGGATGCATTTGCAGGATTCTATTGCTGGGTTACATATGCTATGTGGCCATGGTATTCAGCCTTATTGAGCCCTAGTGCAAGTGTAGCATTAATCCAGGATCTAATTTGACCTGAGCTAAAAAAAAATTAAAGGAATGTAATTTTGAGCCCTATCAGTCTTCAATTTCATTTTACTTTGGTAGCAAGAGTATGAACTGAATATCAGCCAAAATAGTCCCAGTGTGGGTAAAGGAGACGACATCTGGCATTACATATGGAAGCAGAACTCTACAAACAGGAAGTATACAAACAGGACTGTAGTAGGCATAATTGCCATCTGTGTCCATAAACTACAGAGGTTATTGTTGCTGTTCCAGAGGAATATTAGTTGGAGAGTGTAGCTATTGAGTGTTACACAATAATATGGTATATGAAGAAAAAAGTAATTTCTCCGTAATGGAAAACCAGCTCTCATTGCGAGGCCACCAACCCTATATTAATGTTTGTGGGTGGCATAAAAAATTCCAGTTTATGTTCCAGATGCTACAAGGAACAAGAATGCTTTAGTATCCTTTTATACAAACAAAATAATTTAACTTGTGGATGCATGTCTGCACTCTGATTTAGTCTTGGGCCTTTTAAATTAAGATGGCATTGCAATGGTAATTCTGTTCTGCCATGAGGTTGTATTATCATTTGTACTCTAATCTACAAGGAGGAATCAACTGAACAGAATTCTGAAGATCTAAGATTTTTTGTTACTACTAAATCCTTATATTTTACTGCCTAGAAAAGTGGTATTTATAGAATGAGAAGATGTCTCCGTTGTGCTTGTGTTGAAAATTCAGTAGAGAGTATGTGTACTGTGTGTGTATGAGAGTATTTTGTGTACTTTGTTTTGGGGGCTACATGCTCACCCTGTTCCTAATTTACCTTGTTTACACTTGTAGCTATATCAGCTCTGAACCAATAATCCAGACACGTGCATGGAGCATCAGGCAGCCTTTTGCAGCAAGAGCCTTCTCGGAGCAGAACTCTGCCTGTTTCAACATACACACATATGCAAGTGCCATATTTCTGGCACTTACATGTGTATGTCTGGGAATATCCATCACGGTTTTGGTGCTAACAGCCTGGGCTTCTTCCCCACTCGGTTGTGTGTACAAGGGAACTGTATTTTCAGGGAAAATTATGGAAAAGGCAAGGTTCCCTCCGCGCTGTCTCCCCTTGATTAGTGTTCTAATGCAGAGGTTCTAGCCCAAACTGAAGCAATGCCTATATTCTCTCAGGTCATCTGGCTGTTTACTGTAGGTGAACCTGGGCTGAACGTACCCCAGAGCCCAGACTGGAGATTTTTCTAAGTAAGCAGTAGGTATTTCAAAGGTTAAAATATGTGTAGTTCACAGATTAGCTCATGCAGTGACACTTCCTTGAATTTAGACGTTTGGGCTTAAAGCAGATGCATCATTGCCTGCTGAGATTTTCTGAAGTGCCCAGGCTCCTGATTTCCAAAGTTTCAATGGACACTAGATGCATGGAAAATACTTCAAATCCTAGAAACTTGTCAGTGGGAGATGTAGAAGTTGCTGAAAGTCCCACCAGGATTTTCTTGAATCCATAAAACTTGAAAATACTTTTAAAATAACATTGTGTTGATTCCTTCATCTGTCAAATGGTAGGTTATACCCTAAGGACTAATAAAAATTTGTAATTCTTAGGACCAAAAAATATCTTCTGCAGTATTGCTTATAAATTTTAGTTAGATAATGTAATTTTCTGTAGCTAAAAAGCCATAGCGTTTAACCATATTCCAGTTATATCTTACTGCAACATAGATGAAACCAAGGAATAATGTAGATAATTAGGGTGCTGTTTCAGATGTGAAATCCACAGATATTTAAAAGCTGCTTTTATGATAGTGTGAAGTGGTTATTTGCCTGTGAACAATGAATTCCCTACCAGCTCGCTCTACAAAACTGCCTTATATCGAAAGAGCAAAACTGTTTTGGATATTCAGTTTATCCAGAAGGTAAAGAATAAATCAAACATGATGAATTTATGCTAAATGTGGGAAGCCTTTTGTTTTTGAGAGTGAAGGTAACTCAGTTTGGACCTTTAATCTAGCAATGTTGTGGATTCTCCTGTTGCTTATAGTTTTTAAATCAGGATTGCATAAGTATACCAAAGATGTGCTGTAGCTCAGGCAAAAATTAATGGGCTTTGTTCTGGGGGTTCTGGGTGAAATTCTATGACTTGCATTATGCAGAAAGGCAGAGCAGATAATCAGAATTTTTCCTTTTGTCCTTGAAATCAGTGAATCTTTATTAATGACTGACTTGACATCACATTATTGACTTTACCACACTAAAAATATGCTAGAAACTGATTATTTACTAATTAACTATTAAATTACATTGAGTAGTCAGCAAAACAAACAATTAAATATTTTTGCACTGGAAGGGCTTGACTTCTTTGTGTATCTCTCCTGCTGGTTCTTCCTATAAACATGCATCCAAGGCTAGAATGGAACAAGTTAGTAGAAGGAAGTAATCAGCTGGATTCCTTAAACTAATTTATTACTTACTCAGGATAAAGTGGCTTGTTGCTGTGAGTCATTTCTGCATTTCACATCCATTGTAACAATACTAACATAGTAGACTAACATTAGTCTGCTTCTGCTTGTACCATCTCTGTTCTTTTTTCCACATAGAAACCCAAAAATCCTCCTGAAATGTTCAGGTCCAGTGCTCTTGTTCCATCTCTTTTAGCTTCTCAAGTGCTACTTCTGTGATGGTGCTTATTAAATAAACGGATGAGACCTCTGAATGTCAGTCTAAAAGGATCCCTAAATGTTTAAACTGTTTTTCCATGCTTTCACGCTGTCAGTGGGCTGATAAGTGTTTATATTTTTAATGCTTTGTGTTGGTGGATATGAGTTTGGAAAGTGTGTAGTGCACTGTGGTTACTTTTGGTTTCATAATGTTTTGTAATAATCAGTTTCTGTTTGTTTTAATTCAGCTCATTAGGTTCACGCCCTCCTACCCCTAACAGTGACTCAGAATTAGTGAGTAAACCGATGGACAGAAGCGGACTGAAGAATAATCCCCATATGCACTGGGCCTGGGGAGAGCTGCCCCAAGCTGCAAAGGTATCCAGTGTAATTTGTTGCGTTCCTACTAGCATCAATTGTGCTTTAAGGGGGCAAATGCGCTTATTCGGTTGCAGACTGCTGGAGAGGGAATGGATCCTGTTTTTACATAACATTGCAATGTTTTATGTAAAGAATTGCATCTTGCTCCTTAGGAGGTACAGGAAAGGAGCTTGTGTCATGGGTGTTCTCAACACCAACGATATACAGTAGAAAATGAGGAAGTACCTGAGACCTAGTCTTAAAACGGAAGCTTAAATAACATATAAAAATCAAATCCAATGCCCTTTGGTAAATCATTGAAATTGATAAATGGTCTTAGATGGAAAATAGGTGGTTGGTGTTAGCAGTGTGATTTGCAAAAATTGACATTGGTTTCTTGAGTACATAAGCACCCGGATACACCTGCAGTTCTGTACCTGTGCACGCCCAGACGTGCTGTTCTTTTGGCTGAGCCGACTGGCTTGCTGCCTCTCTCCTGCCTGAAGCCATTTGGGCCGGCTGGGTGGAGGATCTGTAGCGTGCCAGCAGCACCAGCTCCCAGTGCACAGGAGCCATGTGCAGCTGAGCACTTCTAGGGTCAGCCAGGCGCTGGCTGGCTCCCTATGGCAGCTGTGGAGTTGGAGCATTCAGACGGCAAAGGGCAGACTTAGGGCTTATGTCTGCCTCAGGGTGTGAGAAGTGAGGGTCAAGTTCAGTGACATACTGCAACTACAGGGGCAGGGGGGGTGTGGGGTTTGGCCCCTTCTGCTGAAGGTTGGCTTCTCCACAGAAAGGACTGTGGGAGTGATGGGGTCAGGAACAGAGTAAAGAAATAAAATTCCTGCTTTGCAGGCCAGGGAAGTGGGTATCCTCCTCAGAAGGAAAACTGTGTTTTGTTGGTGGCACCAGAATTATAACAGCACTATTACAATTTATCTTTAATTCACTGTTGGTAGCTAGTGACAGAAGCAGAAGTGGGAATCCAGAATTCTTAATTTCTTTGGAAGAGCTCTGGCCTCTCCTTTAGTAGTCCAAAGATGAGCTGTCCCATCACCTCCACATTATTTTCTTCCTTATATATATTACAAGAAAATCAAGTCCCTAGACTAAATTTCAGTGCAAAGGCCTAGGCAGGAGTTTTAAATTGGCATTTCCAGTCTAGAATTTAGGGTTTCCTGTTAGTAGATTTGGGTGTTTCATTTTTATCCCAGTCACACAGCCTGGTGTATATTGGAAATCTTATTCCTGGAGGCTTTTCCCTCTGCAGTCCTTTGTGTGTCCCTAGCCAAACTATTCAGACTTGATCTGGCCATACCTGGACTGGAAGTTATGCTTTGGATGCTGTTCATCTTTGTGGAAGAGTCGGTTTGCTGTGACTTGAAGGTTATAGCAGCTATACAGCTGCTGCTGGGGGAGGTCAGCTCCCCTCTGTAAGAACACCTCATGTCCCACGCTCAGCAAAGATCTAGGATTGTTCCTCTAAAGTGGTTTAAAATCTAAATCTGGTTACAGATGAATGGCCGTGTACGTCTGTCCTGGTCCCTGGGAGCATCCTGATTGTATAAGGACTCCGGGCTGCGCTCCCTTCTCATGTTTATTGGGGTTACCTTCTGAAGAAAAGCTAGAGTTGGTGCAGGAAGGGAGGAGGGCAGGGTGGGAGCTGTGGTGTGCTCCCAGGCAGGTGAGTGGGAAAGAGGACTGTAGAGCACATTGCAGAACAAACCTTTCCTGGCCCCAAGAACCAGATGAATTTTGCACAGGCAAGTGGACAGCAGAAAGGTCTTTCGTACCCTGTAGTCTCACTCAATTGTGACTTTCTGCTGTAGTTTTGGTTACCTTGAGAATCTGATCTCACTGGAGTGAACAGAACACGTTCTATGCTACTGCATTTTTAAGAGCTTTTCCTTATAGCAATCTGTTTATTATTCCTCACAGGCCAGTTCTCTGCTCAAAACAAAGGAACCCAGCATGGTGGATGTAAATCCTTCTGAAAGCACTCACTTTCGGGTCATCCCAAGTTCTCCTATAGAGGAGTTTAACATTGTGTCTCCTCTGCCTGCCCTTGGACAAGGAGATGCAGCAACTGCTGATGAAAGTGAGCCCTCACCAGCTGAGGCAAACAAGCCAGAGGGAGAGTCTCCAGAAGCAGCTGTACCATTGTTGCCTGCCAATGAAGAAATAAAACAAGCTGCAGCTTGCTCAGCCCAACCAGCTGGCAAGACTGATTCTCCTTCCAGAAAGAAAGGTAAAGCTGTTGATTCTGCGCTTTTATATGTATGATTTTGTCTTTAAATTCATGGTGATAAAGCACCTCATTGTCATAGAGATTAATCTATGCCCTGAAGGTGCTTTCAGATCTGGAAAGGAGTAAGCTTTGGAAAAGACCTTCAAAACCTGAGCTGTGCTGCAGGCTGTTCATGGGAGCTGTGTAGTAAGATAGAAGATTTTCCTTGGTCTGGATTTTTGTCAGCTCTGCGGCGTATGAGCAAGATTGCAAAACTTGCTCCAAATTCATACATATTTGGCAGATTCAGAGATTTCAATTTTAGTGCAAGCACACTATACATCTGCTGGTTCCCCTGCCCTGACTACTTTGAGTTATGTGTTGCTTGTAATTTTGGAACGTCCCTGCTCTGGTGCAAAGTTGCAGTGTGTCTTTTGCACAAACAGCTGATTGGCCATAAAATAAAGTGCTTTTCTTTCACATGAGCAGTTTCAGTTCTGTGTGGTAGATAGACATCCTGTCCTGAATTTGTGAAATACAACTCTGTCTGCTTTTCTGCTTCTTAATTTCTGGGCTCTATATTCAGGCTATTTTATTATGTGTTACAATCTTCACATGAAACTTATTTGCTTACAAATGCTATGTTTCAGAGCTCTGATTATTCTATAATTATGTAAGCCCTACACTAGGTTGTGCAGCTGCTTTTTCATCAGTAAACACGCAAGTTTCTTAGGCACTTCCCCATGTATTACTCTGTCTTTGAAGACAAAAATGACAGTGTTCCTTTGCTTACTAGTCAGTCTTTACATATATATATATATATCTTTTTTTTTCCTGATTGCTTTTCTGATGTTTGATGTTGGAAACTGGGACAGGGAGAAGTCGTGGGTTTTAGAATTAATTCCAAATTAGGTTTTGGCCTTACAGTGGTTACTTGCCTAGATGTACCAGCAGCAACAGGACAGCGATGAATCTGTGTTGGTCCTAGTGAAAGACCTAGGAGGGTGGTTTTGTCCCCTGCAGTGGTACCTGTGCACACACAACATGTCAGCTCTATGTGCTAAACAGTGAGTTGTCTCCATAACAAGCCAGTTATAGTCTATTGGTGACTATAGTGTAGCCTGTTGTGTTATTTCCCTTTTGCAAGGGGGCACTGAAGTTTAGTTCTCAGAGATTAAACGCTCTGATTGCCTTACTGTGATAATAGGCCTATACAAATCCTCAGAAAGCTTTGCTTTTGCTGTTTTTGACTTCTTATTCCCACTGGTTTTGTCTGGGTTAAGGAGGCCTCAGCATATCTCAGTCCGCTGCTGTCCCATTTTGTGAATTAAAAATCTGAACAGTGCATATGAGCAACCTGGGTGGGTACTGTTTTGGCAGTACCATTCTATACAGTGCAGTTCACAAACTATTATAACTTGTCTGATTTCTGAATCTTAAAATGAATAGTTAAACAGTAATAACAATTTTGGCTTGTTACTCAGAAAATACTCACTAATAGGCTTATTTTTGCCATCCCTTACAGACAAACGGAGCCGGCATCTTGGTGCTGATGGTGTCTATTTAGATGACCTCACTGACATGGATCCAGAAGTTGCTGCACTTTATTTCCCCAAGAAGTATAAGTCCTTTGCTTATATTTTTGCTATTTAAAGAGCTCTTGTCACCTTCTAGATTTAGATCAGTCCATCATTGCCAACCAGATAAGACCTCTTTTCCAGAGTACAAGCAGAGGTGAAGGCTCTGCATTCAGGCCTGAGATGTGTGCTTGAAACTGATTTTCTATTTTGCAGTTAAGCATCACATATTGAACATGGATTGTTGATGTAATGTACACTGATGTTGGTAAATGTTACGTTTCCTGAGAGAGCGGTTGGCCTTGGAATATCCCCATCTCCTTGCTTATTACGCTGAAAAACATACCTTACTGTTAACAGTATTAGCACAAAATGATTGCTGTAATGTTATTCTGCTGTGGGTGATCACCTATACATATGAATGTTAGAAAATAGTTTTTGGATGATGCATGACAGGTTTATTTATGAAAATGTTGCACCCTGAACATAAAATTTCCAACTTTTTCTGATTTTTGTTAGAACCTCTTATAACATTTATAGTCCTCTTTCCACATCTTACTCTAGTCATTTGACTGAAGTTATTGAGCAGCAACTCAAGTAGCTTGCATATTTTATTTTTCTTGTTTGCTTTCTTAAACTCAGCTGTTGTAATATTAGCATTTCAATAAAAGAGAAATATTAGTAATACAGAGAAAAAGATTCCTTTTTCAGATGCATTCATATAAATCTGGAATGGAATGCAGAGTTTGATGAGCCTGCACTTTGCAGTAATAATTTTATCTATACACAGATTAAGTGGGTATAATTATTTATTGTTTCTCAAAATTATAATCCTAATGTTTTATATGTAGAGTATTTTATTTATATATACATGATATGTAAATACACAAACATACACATCCTTTGTCTTGGGTTTAGCTATCAGTTTATATGATTAATACAAATTAAATAATAAACTAATATGTTTATTTTTGTTCCGGTGAGGGAATGGTTCTACTAGTATAAACTTCACTTATAGTAGCATTGTTTTGTCTACAAAGATTGTGCAGTTTATTGTCCATTTTTTCACTCTTGTAAATAAGTGAAGCTGACATTACACGTGCCCAGTTTGGCCAAGTGAGTGGAAGCAGTCCAGTGTTTGAGAGTACATTGTTTAAATTTTCCGGCAAAACCAAGCTATTGCCCCTCCCAAGTGTGTGTGAGATGTAAACGGTGCTTGCTGAAGGGAGACAATTTGGGAATGACTATATGAAGACCAAATTCCTGGTTTTTCTTTTTCAGCGGGGATGCTGTTCAAAGCAAGAACACGAACGACACGGGGCCGCGGTCTGCCAGCCATTCGCCGCAGTCTGTCGGGAGCTCAGGTGTTGACAGTGGAGTTGAAAGCACCTCGGATGGAATTCGAGATCTGCCCTCCATTGCCATTTCTCTCTGTGGAGGCCTTACTGATAACAAAGAAATAACCAAAGGTACAGAACGACCTTCTGAATTACAGGCATGTGCTGTCGGCCAAGTTTTAGCATCCTAGACTGGGGAAGCAGTGCCCTCCTGTGGCTGTACTCAAAAATGTCTTGAGAACATAGGCTGTCCCTGAAACGTTATGTTTCCTAGAATTTTTCAGACTTGAAATGGTAGACATATATAGGACTTCTGATTTTTAACACATTTCAATAATCCACCATATACATTTTTTTTGAAGTATTTTTATTGGTATATTTATTTCCTGATAGTACTATGTTTTGTATCACAATCGTATTAATGGTACTTTTGCCCCTTGGTACAGTATATAGCTAGGAAATTTCCAGCTGTTGGTGTCAGGAATGAAAAAGATGGTCTGAATATAGGGACACTAGGAGGAGGAGTTGGAAACTCTAACCTGAGCTCCTGTTCTGCAGTTTCTTGTGTGACTCTTAGATAAATCATTTACAATGGTCTGTCCTTTACACTTCCAGCTGAATAATGTGAACATAAATGTGTTAAGACTTGCAATTTCTGCAGTTTTGAAAATCATGAGAGCCTGATGCTACGCTGATTGCTGTTCGGAAGCTAGTTATTAACACATTTCTAATATACTGTGATTTATTTGGGTTGTATTTGTCATCTGGATCACTTGTGAACTATATAGACTTTTTGAAAGGAGTTGCAGGCAGTGGAAAGGGTGTTAATTCATAAACATTTTCGTTTTGCTGAAGGCCCTAGAAGTGATAATTAAGTTTCTGGCTATGGCTTTACACATACGTTGGGCCCATCAGTTCTTACTCCTAACTTGGACAGAGGATCAGTGAAAGGTGTGACAAAGTACTTCCTTGCCTTGCTTAGAAGCTTGATTTTCCTCTCTCACAGTTCCATCCCTGAGCTTTCACTTAGCTTGTGTTTTGAACAGGAGACACCCAGCAGCTAAAAAAGAAACCCTCAACATCTGAGATTGAGAGTCTCTGAACATCTTGCTTCCATGTTACTGCTCATCTCAGCACCCTAGTAATGAAGGGCTCTCCCTGAATGCAAAACCTATGGGTTTGAGAGAGGCGGAGAGGTTTAGATTGGCCCATCCCAGGCATCTGTAAATACATGCTTTACATATGTCGTTTTTTCCCCCCACAGAAGAATTCTTAGAACACGCAGTAACGTATCAGCAGTTTGTGGATAATCCTGCTATCATTGATGACCCCAACCTTGTCGTTAAGATTGGAAATAAGTAAGTATCTTCCGGGGAAAAAATATTTTATGCAAACACTTCTGTGGCACTTCAGTGTGTTAGATCAGTTTCACATTAGCTGAAAAGTAGGTTTTGAATGTTCATAGCTTAGATTCATCCAGAAAGAGTCAACTCTAGTGACTTCAGGCTCTTCTAGTTACCTTTCCTTCTTTAAATTGAGAGTAAAGAGCAGTTTCAGATGACCTGTTACAGCTAACTGACACAATTTGAATTTCAAGAAGCTAGTATTAAATGCTAATAGTGTTCACATTCAATTGGCAGACTAAAAATGAAATAGGATGTGAACTTGCTAAGGCTTGCCCTGAGCCAGTTTGAATAATTAATATTTACAGGGATATGGCAGTGCTTGCAAGCACTCTGTACCCAGCAGGTAGTCTGTGTATACTGAATGTTTTGCTAATATGCTTCTGTGGAGACATTGCTTTTTCAAGACTTGTCAAGCTTCATCCACTGAGACTTCTATTTCTGCAAGGCTAAGACATCATTTTGTATGTTTATATTGCTGGTAGCAATGCAGCAGTATGGTCTATGTCAGATGAAGCTTTCTGGGGAGTGTTCTGACTTGAGAGCTCCTTGCATCTGGCATACAGTGTTTCAGAGTCGAGGAGAGACCATGGCATTGTGCTGTACTTAGTGGTTAAGCTACCCTTGGTCATACACATTGCTCGTACAAATCTGACATGCCTGGTGTGTCCTTACATATCGTATCACATATGTTGTGGCCTCATACCTGACCCTCTCTGTGGTCTGAGGTGACTCCCTTATTTCTTCTCCGACTTAGTTCTCTGAATTTGATGGTAAGATTTTCCTGCCTACTGATACGTTGGGAGGAGAGAAGTACTTAGTGATATTAGAGTCAAAGTCTCTGGATGTCATGTGAGCTTCAGCGTCCCTAGACGGATGATAATACTATGTTTGTCCTACTGTCTGTAACAAGAGTTGACCCATGTTCAGCACATAACAGCAAAAGCTTGACATCCTACAGACTAACTGTAGTCCGACAGGCTGCGGCCCCTAACTTTGGTGTAGTTCCTTGATGGAAAACCAGTGAAAACAGCTTGTAAAAAATGTAGCTCATGCTGTGATAATGAGGTGTAGCAAGGACATGAGGAATGTATGACAAATACCATTTCTACGTAAGGACCTAACTTCTCTTGTGTGTCTTGGAAAGTGTATTGTAAATACCTGTGAACATACACAGGGCCTGCTTTTACTGATGCAGGCCACTTTTATCTGTGCTAAAGGGGCTTCATGGCTTTAACCTGCCCGATGATACAAACTGGGTAGATTGTGAATTGGAACCTTGGGATTACAAACGCAGTAACCAGCTCTCTTGCACGCCCAGGTACTACAACTGGACAACAGCTGGTCCCCTTATGCTGGCAATGCAGGCATTCCAGAAACCTTTGCCGAAGGTGAGATTGAACATGAAGGTTGGTCAGGGCAGGAATTGTGACATTCTACCATTTATTAAGGCAGGGAAGAGGGTGGTTGTACAAAAGAATCTGCACATCAGTAGTATCTATCCATACATAACCATTCATCCAGCTTATGCTAAGAGCTAAATAAGCAGGACTAAATTTGGTCTGTGAATAGTGTTTATGTGCTAGGCTAAGATCATTACAAGTATTTTGAAGGAGGAAAACTTTCTCTTTTCCTTCATTAATATGGATTATAAACATAAGTTACATTGACCCATGTTGGTGTTTGCTGCAGCTGAATATTTGGTGACTGCTTTCCATTTATCTGTATAGAGCATATATTGTCCAATAAACACCTGGAATTTAAACCTCAGTGAATAAGCTTTAACTGCTAGATAAGGAAGGCCTGTAGCTTGCTAGTTCTTTATTTCTCATTTGGTCGCTCGGGTAGGTAGTGGCAGATAGCTACGACTGTGTGACAGCTATGTATGTTGGCTTATGTTAAGTGTGTTGATGAATTTAGTCCAATTCCATGTGACCTGGTGCCACATCGATGCTCAGGACAGAAATACACACTACTGTAAATGTATATAAAGAAGTAGTATCACCATTAGCACTATTCAGTATCCTGGTTAGCCGTGGATTTAATAAACTTGGGAACCTAAATTTTCCTTCTGTCATTTACAGCACTTCAAATGTCTTTCAATTTAATCTTTGTGAATTTAAATGCTGTCTCTATTGCCATGAATGGGGAGTAAAGGTTTCTTCAAAGCCCAGAATACTCTCCCACTTTCTTAGTGCCACATTATCTGTGTATGCAGTCACATGTAGCTGCATCGTAGCATCCCAATATAAATTGATCCTACAAGTCCCAAACATATGGTACACCTGGCTTGAATTTCAAGGATGTTTTGTGCTTTACTGCAAATATTCTAGAAATCATCAAAGGTGGTATTCATCTTATGGGACTCAAATGCCTACAGAAGGTATATATTTATCGCACTCTCTTTGTGGGGCAATTCCACCGAATGATTCAGACCTTGATAGGTGCCTGTTGTGTCTTCAGTGACAATAAAGATAATGCAAGGTAACTGCATTTTTAGTGAAATACTTTGATGCCCGAACCAGGTGTTTTGGGTTTTGCCGAGGATGGGTAAAGGGAAAGAATTGGTATGAAGTTGTTTGTTGTTAAGGGAAGTGGCAATTCTTTCAACAGCATTATGCTTACGCCATTATTCATATAGGTTGTCAGTCAAGAAAAGTATGAGTATGAAATTCAGTGTGTTCACTTTTTTAATGGTTAACATATTCTTAAGGCTGATAACTTTCTGAAGGCTGAACTGTACCTCTGAAACTAAATTAATCATTTATACTACCAGTCATCTTACTGGTTTTCTTAATGATGTGTTAAGTAGAGTTTTGATTTGCTGTAATAATGGAACTAAGGTATTGAAATACTAAGATAGTTTACCAAACTGGCTTTATGAAGTGATTGAAAACTGTATTTTTTTTTTCAAAAAAATCACTCATGTTCTGCAGAGTATACTCAACCACATGTCTAATTATAAGCATGTGAATTATCTCACTGAAAGTCAATAGGACATCTGCTTGATGTTGTCTGTATGTTTGAGAACCTCCTTAAATTGTAGCCGTTGTTCTCAGCAGTGGCATTCCATTCTCAGTAGCTCCATCTGCTCCTTGTTTTTCTTATTTTTGCTTTAAAAGTTCTCAACTTACTTGCTCAATTTTATTCCTCTGTCCCTACTTCCTTTTCTCATAGGGTTTAGATAGTATAGCAAAGAGAAGATCCTATGGAAAATAGAGAAAAGGGATGCATTGTCCCATACCTTAGCTGAACTCCACCCTCTCTCTTAACTGCTACGAGTTATTGGAATGATTAAATTTTTTTTTTTTTTAAAATCCCTAATCAACATCACAGTTTAATTTTGGTGACTTAGCTTGCAGTGGAGGCTGTCATCTCAGGAAGCCAGTTCAAGGAAATACGACACATGGTGGCCACCTTTACTGTAGTATTTTCCCCCTTCTTTTGCTTGCTCTCTGAGTGTAAGGATCCAGCCCTCCTTGTTACAATGCACAAGGCTGCACTCGTTAGGGGTGTTGGAAGAAACTTGTTTCTACTGAGGTCTAGTATATACAACCGATGAAAACTAGACAGGATTTAGAAAGAACAGTTCTAACACTGTCAGTCAAATTCATAGCATCATCCTAAACTCATAAAAACTAGTACCTTTGCTTTTTTTTTCCAAACTGGTGATTAAATATGAACTTTGTAGTTATTTTTCAATGAGAATAACCCTCTTGCATGTGAGTTTGTTACTGGTTGGCATGAGGCTCCTTCAGGAAGCGATATTTTTCTTTTTCCAATATAATTTGCACTAAGTAACTTCAACTTAAAAACAGTAGGTCCTCCATTCTAAACATTATACTAATATCTATTTATGCTTTTTTTTCTTCTTTGATTTTATCTCTTTCATTTCCTTTAAAAAATACCATAAGTATTCATGCTTAAGTTATTTCAGAGCAGCTCTGGATACCATTAGATTTTGCTTTAGTAGAATTTATGGTCCACAGACAGTATGTTTACTTTTATTCTATTTATTATCAGTTAAAATTGTGTGTTTGGCACTTTCTTTCATTTACATATATCAGGTTGTCCTTTGTTTTGGTATTTTTTTTATGTTACCATCCATTTATCACAGGCCACTGTGGAATCTATAATGAGGGACAAGATGCCCAAAAAAGGTGGAAGGTGGTGGTTTTCCTGGCGAGGGAGGAACAGCACTATTAAAGAGGTAAGTTTAAAAAGCAAGCAGCGTTTCCTTCTGTTTGCCGTGGCAAGGCTGGACACCTCCATATTCATCCCTCAGAACTTGCTTCTGAGAAGAACTTAATATTCAGTTTGGCTGAGGATATACACACTGAAAGGTGCTTAAGCAGGGTCTGAAGTCTGACTTCTTTTGACTTCAGAAAGCTTTGCATCAAACCCTACCTGAAACATCTGCCTGCAGTGTTTTGGTTCAGCATTTATTTTCATTACACAAACCTGAGGCAGTTTTATCTAATGGATTAAATTTGTGTTTGGGAGCCTACCATCAAAGAACTGTGTCACTAATTTAATGTTTTCGGGCAGATTACCTACCTTTCTGCAGCTTTTTTTTGATAGTTGAAGAACAGACATATTTATGAGTAGTATGAGCTGTAAAATTCAGAAAAACCTAGGATGGAAAACTGACTATATATTTTAAAGTCTTTTTGAATGTCTTTTCTGAGCATTAAAAGTTTCTAACAACAGTCTTAAAGTTGTGGATGAACATTAAAGAACAGTGAAAGAAGCAAAACTTTATATGAAATATTGATCTCCTGTCTAGACATATTTAATCTTTAAAGTTGGCTAATAAAACCTCTTCATATTAATTTATACTGCTGAAGCATTAGTACTTGAGGGGAGAAAATGACTTCTAATACATTTTTATGGCTGTGCTTCAGTCGATGAACTCTGTTAGTGTTGCATGAAATAACCATTGTACTGATCTGTGGGTAAGGGCTTCAGAGCGTGAGATTTTAGTTTCTACAGTTTATTGAAGATTTTAGGATTCCTGTCTGGGTGGAAGTATTTGGTTTCTAGCTGTGGCAGCTATAAATGGATAAGGGGAGGTGTTATTGTTGTTTACGTGTCTCATAAATTCATTTACTATTTAAAAATCTTGTGGGATGAAATTGATAGAGCTTAGCATCTACTCAAGGTAAAAGCAGTTTGGAAAGTCTTACTGGATTAAACATTTTAATGTTTCTATAAAAGGTATGTTTTTTTTTTTTCTTTTCCAGAGTCATAATTTGTTCTTTCAGGTGAAATCTAGCTATTTGAGGAGCGTGAATTGAGTCGTTAGGGGATTGATTCCAGAGCTTCAGTAGTACTAGATGTGAAATCTGATATTTCTGTACTTCTTCCACGCAAAACTAAATCTTAATTCTTCTTCTGAGTTTTATATTTGCAATTTTAGTTCTTTGTTCAGCCTTTATTCTTTAAGAAAACCATGAAGTTTTACTTTGCCTGCAAGCAAAGGAAACAAACATGGTGTTGATTTTTACCAAGGCTGTACAAGACAGAATTCGATTTTCAAATAGTTTTTTAAAAAAAAAATCTGCTTTCTGCCCAACAGGAGATATACAGCTTCTCATACTTGTATTTTTACAGGAAACAAAGCCAGAGCAAGGTATGAGTGGGAGTGGACTTACAGGAGAAGACTCCTCACAGATGAGCATGGCAAATAGGTACCCCAAAATTTATCTGTTCCTGAAATGAGCAGGAGTTACCAGTTAAAAATGAAAGCAAGCTACCTCTTAAGTTTGAACAAAGAAACACCGCGCCAGTGAAATATGTTCATTTTATCCTTCATTGAAGGAAATAAGCGCGGATAGGAAGGCTGCACCCATAGCGGGGTTGCAGGCCTTGCGAGCGTGCTCTGGTGTTTCTGTGGTTTGGCTGGCAGCTCCGTGACAGCCCCTTGAAAACAAACAATGATTGGAGCAGTTCTCCAAATCCGTATGTACCTCTCTAGAATTTTCAAGGGAACTTCATAGAAGTCCCCATGCTGTTGTCAGACCCCAGTTGCTACAATTTCCGATTTACTTACATGTATGGCTTGATAGCTTAATTTGTTCTTTCATATTTTGGGGAGTTCGGGGGCCTAAGACTGGAGTGTTTTTCACAGCCAGTAGTCATGTTTCTTCTTTTAAGGACTGAAGAAATCTCTTCCTTCTCGTGCTCCAAACTAATCATACTGTATGGCCAGAATCTCTCCTTCAGGAGGGTTCCATAAGAGGATCTTTAGCTTGCTTTGGAGGCTTTGGAGGGATGAGTTAGGGACAGCTCTCCTACCTTACCACTGTGCTGTATGTGGAGATCCTCCTGTAGAGACAGCCCGTCTGAGTGCTGTCTGCACGTAGAGCTGGAAAGGGACGGATTCAAATACGCTTTATGCTCGTTAAGTTCAAGAATTCCATTTATGAAACAAAAAGGCATTAACTGTCATTCTTTCTGGAGGTCAGCAGTTGCAGTCTAGGAGAGTGTGGTGGAAGGAGGATTCCTCGTTCTATGGGAGACTAGCTGTTCTCTCAGTTGCCTCTCAGTTTCTGAGAGCCACAGAATAAATCGGAAAGGCTAATTTTCCTTTTAAAGGTGACAACTGGCATTTAGGTGTGTTTCTTACATGGTTGTTTAAAGATAAGCTTTAAAGTGGGATTAAAACTTCAAGCAGACTGGATTCTGTAATTGGTGTTCTTTGTTTAAATTTTAACTGACCTTAGAATCTGCCATTAAGAATTTATTGCTTGCAAGTGGAATGCAGCAAGTGGGATGTTGAGTAAAGCTTTTGAGATCCGATGTTACAAAGGATAAGATAGGCTTTTAAATGTTGCTAGTCGTGACATGTGGTACCTTGATGTTGGGTCAAGACTTCCTAACATCAAACGACATCCTGGTGTGCTTGAAATAAGAGCTCAAGTGCTGTTTCATAGGATGTGAAAGGATATTTTACCTTCTAACTAATGGGACAGATTTGTTTGCTGTCAAGAAAACTTTCTCTCTGAAGAAAAAATATCCTTAACAAATATCTGAAAAAATGGTTGTAGCATGGGGAAAAAAAAAATTACACTGATGTGTATTTAAACCGAGTTGTGTAAATGAGCTGAGGCTTTAGGACTTTTTGTCATTGTATCCTGAATAGAGTAATCCTGTACATCCTGGAAAAGAATAATCCAGTGATCTAAAGTTGCTCATGGAAAGAGAAGGAGGAGTTACTTTCTATAATAAAATTTGCATCGCCTGGTCTTCTTTTTTATTAATTGATAAATTCTTGGAGGGAGGGAGGGAGGAAAGGGAGGGAAAAGAAAGCCAGCATAGCAAACTCTTTTTTCTTCATCTGAGAACTGGGGAATTCTTTCAGTTACATTATGTAATGGATATTATTTTTCTTTTTTGCCACTAGATTTTTTGAGTAAATATGGCACGTTAATTTACAGCTGTTAAGTAATGTAGTTTATAGACAAGTGAATGGCTGGAACAGTCCAAGTATGAATAACAGGGAAAATGCGTGAATGAAAATCCAGCACTTCATTGATATTTTTAAAGCCATGGTATGAATGACCTCCTGTGAGACAGTACTTGGGAGCAGAGACTCAATGACTTGTTTGGTGACTCACTGTTAATGCATTTTTAATGGATACTGAGATGCATTTACTGACATGATACCATCATTTTCTGTGTGTACAATGTTCCAGAATAAAAGATGAATCTTCTTCAAGCGATGAAGACCCTAGAGCTGCCAAACAAAACTTCGGGTCATTACAAACCAACACAAGTCATCTCTCATTATTGCCTGGAATCAGTTACAAAAAAACGCTTCGACTCACTTCTGACCAGCTTGTGAGTTAATTTCACATCCTTATTCTGAAATGTCATTTCTAATACAACATGAACAATACTGTTATTCAGGCTTGCAAAGCTTAATTAGCTCATGCATCTTACATTTGATTCTCTGTTATATTAAAACCCAAAATCTTTTCCTTCCCCTTTTCAGTATTAAGCATGAATGTTGCACCTTCCAGCATGTGCTGGGGTTCAGAGACTGGGAGACATGGGATCCCATTTAGAAAATAATCCAGTTCAATTCCAAAGTGTCACCTGTGTAAATGCACTGGAACCACATCCTTTTAGTATTATGTATAATGTGTTTATGTCAACCCACAGGCCTCTCTTATTTTTTATCTTTTTATCCACCCTCTCCTTTCCTTTCCCGTCATTCATAGGCAGACAATCACATTTTACACAAACACGATTTTCTGTTAGTAACTTCTGAAAGAGCTGCTTGTGAACTTACTATGAGGTCAGGCTATTAATTTCATGGGAGCCAATTCTCTTGCTCTGTGACAGAGGTGTTTTGACTAATGGTGAAAAAACTGTTAGTTTTGTGTTCTGCACATTCCATTCACTTTGGGGAAATACTTTTTGTCGTCTTACCTACAGCCAATTAGTTTTCTGAGGGAAACTCACACAAGGCGTATGGCATTAAACAGCCCATCACTCACTGCCTGAATAGTTTATAAGTGTAGAATTTTTCGCAAGAGATAGATAGGATGTGTTGGTAATTTTGTATAGCAAACAAAAAATAAGGCTTACACAAACATACTGCTGCTTTTCAGATTCGGAAACCTTGCAGAAATTCGTTGAATCTAAAACTTCTTCTAGATTGGTTTCTTGATGAAACAGTGGGCAATACTCATCAGTTACCCATCAGTTGTTCTTCATTGCCACCTCTTGTTCATTTCCTAACTAATTGAAAAGTTGCAGTGAAATATAACTAAGAAAAACAGACACTTAAACTCCTGCAGCTTGGTGAAAATGAATGATTAGGTCCACAAATAGAATCAATTCAGCAGTCTTTTGCCCAGTGTGTTGCTAAGTGACATGGGAGGCAGTGGGAGGGAAGGGCACGGAAGTGGGGGAGTTCAGGAAATTTGGTGGAGACCCCAAGGGTCATAGGTCATATGGTACAAGAGGTGGGTTATAGGAAAGAGATGTAATACCATAGAACACAAGTCTCCATATAAACACTCTTAATTAGAGTTCATGGAAGTCCTTGTTACCCACATTTCCTCTCTACATATGGATCTGTATCTCAGAATGGAAAATCCCCCTAGATAGTCCCTATTCCATAATTTGTTATTGTTTAAGTGAACTTTTGGGGATTTTTTTTTTTTTTTTATATCCCTTACTGTGAAACAGAGTTTTGTTTGTTTGTCTTGTTCTGCTCTACAAATCGATGCCTCATGTGCACTGCACAGGGCAAACCTCTGCTATCGTTATTTGGACGCTAGCTCTGCTGAAAGCACTGCAATTCAGTGTGACCAGCGCGCAGCGGTCATCTGTGGCTTTGCGCTGCGTCCATTCCACATGCTCAGGTTGTTGATTATCTTGCTGATAATGTCTTGCAGAAAAGCTTAAAGCTCAAGAACGGCCCCAATGATGTGACCTTTAGTGTTACAACACAGTATCAAGGCACTTGCCGCTGCGAAGGCACCATTTACCTATGGAACTGGGATGATAAAGTTGTTATTTCTGACATTGATGGAACAATCACACGGTGAGTTCATGAACAGGAAGAGGCTTTATCTGCAAGGTGTCCTTGGAACTAGAGGAAAAAGTAATTAACAGGGAAATTTGACTCACAGAATCATCGTATACTAGTGGTTTTTGGGGGCTGTTGATGTTTGTTTGTTTGTTTTTTTAAATTTAGCTTTCAAACAATGCTGAATTCTTAATTTCATAAAGACATATGCCATATATGTGCCCATTATTTGTGACCTGCTGGTGTTCCATGATAGTATTTACAGTAGTGCTGGAGGGCCGTCTGCAAAATCATAACCTTTGTGCTGCATCACACTTAACGATTGTGGTGCCTACATTAAAAAGAGAAACACATAAATTCTGTTTTAAAAGGCATTACTAAGGGCATTCCAGTGAGAGCTATTATTGCTTAGAAGACAGGACTCTGAAATCAGTGTCAGAATTAGAATTTGATGGAAAGTTTCAGATTTAAACTTTGGGTAAAACCCACGATTTTAGACTGATCAAAACAATTCACTCGCTGAATCCCATTTATTTATTTAACACTGGAGAAAACAATTGTATGTGGAACAAGGAAACACACAATAAAAATATAAGAATTTTCTTTTGACCTTTTAAACTGAAATGCTTAGATATGTTTCAAAATCAGTTTCTTCAAGACCAAACTCATCTGTTTGTAATTTGAAAAAGAGAACAAGGCAAAAGAATAAAAAGACATAAAATACTTAATTTAAACTGAAACTCTCTTCCTTGGGATTTATCCATTGTAGGGCAAACTTTTTGGTGGCAATATCCTCCCTATCTTATTTTCTTAAGCTTCAGTAAAGTGAGTGGGATCTTCTTGCTTGTCTGCTGTTGGGCTGATCAGAAAGTTACCAAATCACTTCCCCTTATAATACCATTGCAAACCCATCCTCAGCCACTGCCCAGTGCTTTCTCTTTAAGCTGCAAGGGTGTGGATTTCTTGCTCTGAATCTGTGTAATGCTTAGTCAAGTGAGGTTCTCATTTGTTTGAATTTCTAGATGTTATTATAGTGCAAATAATTTTCCCTCATGTAAAGCAGGAAATACTTTAAAACCAGTATAACTATTTCCTAATACTTTCTGCATGACCAACTGCTGGCTTTATGTGGAGCTAGAATGTCACTTCTCATGCTTTGACTTTCCCATAAACTTCCCTTACGGGTAGATTTGGTTTATTTCAAAACCATTTAATGTACACTTCAAAAAGCATACTTAGTACTGACTGACCTACTACACAGGCCTGATTGATAGTCTCTGGGCTGTAACTTCCATGTTACCTTATGGGTCACGAGCTTATCCGTGAAGACAAGTCGTGGGGCACAAGAGTAATTAACATGGCCACGGATGGGCGTGTCATTTTATCTCAGAAGAAAGGGGAATAACATCATCCTCCTTTGATCACAATCAGTACCTTACAGAAAACCTTATTTTCCTTTGCCTCTGCTCAAATAATTTACTGGGGTTTGTATAACCCTCGTCTGTTGTTATAAGTATTGGGTTTTTTTCAGTTCAACTCCATTGTTTTTCCTTTATTCAGGTCAGATACTTTAGGTCATATTTTGCCGACTCTTGGCAAAGACTGGACACACCAAGGGATTGCAAAGTTGTACCATAAAGTGAGCCAGTGAGTATTCAGTAAACCTGTTCATGCGTCTGTGGCTGGTCTGTGTTTATTCATTTGCACATTAAGATTGAAATTTCTCTAGGCTTCTCTTAACCTCTAAGGGTGACAATTTTATCAATATCTCATCGATTCAGTGATGCTTACAGGGTGTAAGGATCTGCTGTATGATATCCAGAGCAAAGCCTGCTTTGTGATACCAAAAGCTGCAGTTGCAGCAAGTGGAACTTAGTTTACAAACTGGGAATTGTGGTAGCATTGATTCGTGAGGTGCTTTTCCACCTTCCCGTCTCTCCTTGTTGAGGAGATTGTGAAATGCTTAAGGACTGTTCCCCAGGGTGGTCACTGTAGGTGGATTTCTTCTCACCAAACTTGGCTTGTCTGGGGTCAAAAAGTAGCTCAATATATGTGTGATGTAATGATGTTTTGAAAAAACTTTTGTATTCTATTAGCTTTTGGGCAACAGTCGATCAGCAGTGCTTTAGGTCACTTAATGTCATTAACAGGAACAGTACCCTCGTACAACCTAGAACAACATATTCCAAAAAACTTGGGATATTCCCTTGAATGAATATGAACAGAAGAACAAGCAGACCATACCAACTCACATGGGGTGATGTGTGGGAATGCTTCCAGGGGAGCAAGGCTCATGCAAGAGTGCAGGTGTAGTGTTGGTGCCCAGCATGCATTTTGCAGTGTAGTCAGGCCATGGTGTACACTGGGGGATCAAAACCAGAGTTTTGTGATTAGCAATTGAGAGAAAAAAGGAAACGAGGAGAAGAACTGATTGATGTCTGAATGGAATCAGACGAAGTATCTGATATCTTCTGATGTTACATGTTCAGATTTTACCTTTTTCAAGGAGAATTACTGATTGCTGTCTGTTCAGCTTGATATTTCCACTTATGCAGAAAATAAAATTGGTTTTCTTTATATTACATTGAACATAGAAGGACAGTTGAATTTAAATTACCATAAATGTTTGAAGAGCCTCTGGTACACATCACAATTGTCCTCTTAGTACACAGAACAAATCAGATTAACTAGGGTTATGCTAAGGTTCGTTTATTGCTCTTTGTTTTACGTGGATGATGAATTATAAATTATCAATGATGGAATCTAAATTATGCCAACACTTGTCTGTGCTTTTATTCTGTATAGAAATACGTGATCACAGAAAAGACAGGGCAGCCTGGGAAGTCACATACTGAGCAGTATTTAGTTCTATGAATAATTTCTGCATTACGTTTGGTGAAAATGTTAATTATTTTTTTAATTGCAGCTGTTATTTCTATGTCTGTCAGCACTGTCAATTGTTAGGGCTTTGGTGACCGTAAATGTAGGAGAAATAAATAGATTTGAGTCATGTTTTTCAGATCACTGAGTTAATTATGAGGTGGCTAGATAGTACAGCTGAACACTATATAAATATTCAGTAGTTAGATTTAGTGACTATGCGTGCATTGAATACCCTATTTCTTTATTTTATGAACAATTTTTTAATAGGACTTGCAAACCAAATTGCTGTTAAGTTGGATTAACATAATTGGACTTTGTTCTCCCATGAACAGAATAAAGAATACCTGTAATTTCTGCCGCAACTTTTATTGCAGTGTCAAGTCAAAGATTACTTCTCATGCTGTGTTTTGAAGTTCAGATTTGCTCAGACTTGAAGGGGTGTGTTGCTGCTGCACACAGACTGTTCTTTTTATGCAGAGACCCCAGAGGCAGGAGTACAGCACTGTTAATACAGCGAAGACTAATACACCATTTTCTGCTTTATGCCGAGTGCTTTCCTCTTAACAGATTCATTTCAGTTAGTTGTGGGGAGTGTCCTTCCACTGTGCAGGGGCAGATAGAAAACCGTAAGAAGTCATAAGCCATGAGAAGACCAGAGATAAATGAGCCCTCTTTAGGTGTAAATCACTGACTGCTGTGGAGCTAGACAGATTTTAATTATCCAAGGTTCTGGCATAAATGTTTTTATTCCTTTTAAGTAAGTCTAGGTTAAACATAAGTCTGTTTAACAGCCATGATCTGATTCATGTAAAAATAAACCCACAACATTATTAATGTCAAAATACCCGCTTTATGTTTATAATAACTACTTCTTTTGTTTCTGTTGACAGGAATGGGTATAAATTTTTGTATTGCTCAGCACGTGCTATTGGAATGGCAGACATGACCAGAGGATACTTGCACTGGGTCAACGAACGAGGAACTGTGCTGCCTCAAGGGCCGGTGTTGCTGAGTCCAAGCAGCTTGTTCTCAGCTTTTCACAGGTACTGCAATTTCACTTCTATGCAGAAACAAACTCTGAGGTTGGTGGAGGCTGAATCCTTGGCTTTGTTTATAGGAGTGCTTGAAATCACTCATAATGGTTTTCTTTTCTTACATACTGGTGCGATACTTGATTTCTTTTAAGAAGAAATTTTGTTAGAGCAAGGCCAAAATTCAGTAGTTAAAGTAAGCAATGTATCGATCTCTTAGACATGCAAGGCCAAGTGCAAGGTCCTGC